AATATTGGATTATTGATTTTTTTTTACTTAAAAGTAAAAATATCACGGTTATGTGAGAAAAAAAATCTTAGTTGAACATTGTCTCGTAACGCCGCTCAGTTAGTGTGGTGGTTGGAGTACTACCACGGCTCGGACCGGAGCTCGACTCCCCATTCTAAAATCTTGATGACTTCTTGAAATGTACGTTCTCAAATCGTATCTTAGTGGTTTTGAGTCCAATCTGATATAATTTTTTAGGTTTTTCATAACCGAGAATCGGCTAGCACCGTCGTAGAACTTTTCAATCTAAATTAAGGTAAAGTATGGCATCCGGGCGTCAGAATTACATTTGGATCACCATAAAGGATGAATCCCTGAGACGCGATGGCGCAGGGGATAGAAAAATCGCCTTCTAATAAGGTAACCCGGTTTCGAATCCCAGCCATGGCTGGTTGATACGAATTCCGCATCTGGCTTGCCCGACCACAGTGCTGACGTAAAATATCCTCAGTGTAAGACGGATCATGGGGCAAGGTCCCTTTGCCACCAGGCTAATCGTAGTTTTGAGTGGTTTTCCTCTCCATGTAACGCAAATGCGGGTTAAACCATCAAGAGGTCTTCCATTAAAGCAAATTTCTCCCAATACTTGATCCAGGACCACCCTTGTCTTCTGGATTGGGTTCAAAATTACAAGACTACGGAGTTGAGCATTGATAGCCTTAAACGTGAAATAGGGTAGACTGTTCAATGACGGTACTAAGGTACTTTCATCCCAGTATTCTGTGACAGATCATGTGACAGATAATTCTAGCATGTACAGAACACTTGACTCACTTTGACTTCCTTGTATACCCAAGTAAAATTTTTTGATGGTTTTCCATTGATGGACCAACATAATTTTGATGGTAACCAACAATAATTCCATCATGAACCGTTATATTTTTTGATAGTGACCAACACAAGTAACGATCACCTCAATGTTGGATGATGGTCCAACATAAGAATAGAAACTTGTTTTGATGGTTTGTTCACGTTGAACCATCAGAAATTGCCATCATAGTTTCTTAGAAATCAAATATTGGAACGATCATGAACCAACATCACCCCAATGTAAGAATTTGGAGTGTGTGTAGGAATGAATGTATTATGATCCAACATAAAAAAAAAAAACAAATTGTTTGGATGGTATATTCCTGAGAACTAACAAGAATTCCCATTAAACTATCATTTAAATGCATAATTGGAACCATCACGGATCATCATGGATTGTTGATCCGTGAAAATCAAACTTCTCTTGATGGTTGACCATCATAGTACTAAGGTAGCATTTTCCATCATGGAATGATGGAAGTTTGTTGGCATATCAAGAACCATGAACTCAAAATGAAAAATGTTGAATGGTGACCATCAAATGATGTTGGACCATCATGAATCCCACTGAAACCAGCATAAACCATCAAATTTTTTGATGGTACCATCAAAACTTTTGACTTGGGTACCCCTCTCTTACACTCTTGTCATTGTGGCGTGTCTTGTGGTCTCCTGTAATTTGCATATTATTCTTGTTTGATAATTCTACAGTGAAATTTTTGCTTCACTGTTCAATTTCCGTGTGACTCTGAATTACCTTTAGTTTATGGACGCTTAGGAAAATTTGCCATAGAGAAACGTAAGGTAATCCATGGCAACCTATGGTTACCATCGAAATTTGTACAGCAAAATACCATACGCCTATGGCAGACCTGCCAACTTTTAGTCCCTTCCATTATCATTTTTCTCAGTGGTATTACAATGGAATTAAAATTTCAATTTTAAGCAAAAAAATACGTTGTATTTAAAAAAAATTAAGCTGACAGCAATGATAGTAACGCATATTGATATATGTGCTTGATTTTTTTAAGAATAGTGGTGATCAAAATCATTTAAAAATTAAGTTTATAAAAGAAAAAATAGTATATATTTACTACCACTTTAAATATGAAAATAAAATTTTGCGTAAAAGTTGGGAGGTATGCTATGGTAACCATAGAGATCTGTATGGTATTTATATGGTACAACACCATAAGCCTAATGCAACCATAGAAATTTGTATGGCAGTAGACCATAGGCTTATGACAACCATAGAAATTTGTATGGCAGGATACCATAGGCATATGGTAACCACAAATATTTGTATGGCATTTATATAGTAAGACTCTATAAACCTATGGTAACCATACGTATCTGACTAGTATTTACATGGCAAGACAATCACTTATGGAAATGTACCATACACATATGGCAAATGTATTGGAACTTTTATGGTAAATTACCATGAGATTACCATAAAATGGCTTACTTTTATGGTAATCTCATGGTAAAATACCAAACAGTTATATGAAGGTAACACATACACATGGCAAACGTATGGAAACACACCATATATACTTACTCATATGGTAAATGTACCAGTAATTTTTCTTACGTTTTAACGAGTGTTCTTATGTATTCTATTTTAGTTCTTTTTATTCAGATGATGCCTTTTCTCATTTTATGTAATGTTATCCTTTCCTTCGCTTGCGTATCGTTTTACCTTTTTCCTTCCTTTCTTTCTTACAATGATGTCTTATTTTAAAATTGTAAATGTGATACACAAACATTGCTCTTTTTTTTTTATTCATATTATTCGGTATTCATTTACTTTTTAATATTGCGTTACAGTCATACATAAAGGAGCTATTATGGTCTTAATTTTTTTTTTTTAAATTTAAGATTTTCAAAGGATAATAAAAATAAATAATAAAAATAATTAAAAAGAATAAAAAGGAAAGAATAATAAAAAAAAGGAATAAAAGCAAGTTATAAAAAATAAAAAAATTCAAATCAATTCATACTTAGGTCAACAAAGAAAAAATTTATTTTAGTTAGTTTTTATTCAATAATTACAATTTCTTGCCCCCTATAAAACTAAAATGAATGAATTACATTTAATGAATGAATTAATATTTGAAACAACTGTATTAACATCAACTGTCATTCACTAGAAGCTTAAAAAATGTATTTGATCTTGAATAGATGAATAAAAAATATTTTGTGAACTATTGAATATTTGAACAAGATATAGGGAGAGTGTGAACTAATACAGTAGAGAACCGATTATCCGGAACGATCGGACTATCGCTATTCCGGATAACTGATTTTTCCGGTTTTCTGAACCGCTACAAAAAGCCGTTTTTTTAGTGTTAAACCCAACTAAAAAAGAAATATTTGGAAATAATCTTAAAAATAAGAAAAAACGATGAGGTAATGCACTAATGATTATTTCTGAAATGATGGTAAGGTAAACATCTTTCAAAAAAGAAAGAAAATTCCTAAAATCCAAAAAAAAAACATTTTTTAAATTGCGGGAAAATTTATCGAATTTCGTTCCGGTTTTTTGGTTTTCCGGTTTTCTGATTTCCGGATAACGGATTCTGTACTGTAGTAGGAATTGAATAAAATGATATTTAAATGAGTTTTGAGAAAGAAAACTTTTTAGCTTGTACACGAATATCAAACTGTTTACAAAACTTTTCCAGAGTGTACGAAATGCTGACATTGTATACAATGCCTGGCGATTTTAGGAAAGTTGGAAATATGAGAATAACTGGAATAAAACATTATTCGAAAGAAGCATTATGTATTAATTTTTTCCTCGCTTTATTTTCTTCCTTTATTTTTTCAAATGTTAATGAGCGGACTATTAAATTAAAAAAATTATTTTCTTTATACAATTTATTTTATTGAATGTTTAGATATTATGAATAATATTAAATGTGAGAAACACTGCTGTGGAAAATAACTTGCAAGAGTATGCCGGTTAATTACCTACAATTCCCAGACTAGCTATTATCCCTTGTTATAGACGGTAATTGCTAAAAATGTATACCTTTCTTTTTAATGCAGAAAAAATTAAAATATGAACCTTTTTGCTGTGTGTTGTCCATTATACTCTTTTGTAAAGGTTAAAAATATATTTTTTAAAATTTTTTCTCCTAAAAAACATGACATGCATAGATCGAATATTAACCACCTTTTCTTAATCCCCTAGCAACAAATTTAACTTAGTCCTCCCAGTTGGGCTCAACATTGGCTCAATATGGATCCTATATGAACATGCACCGAGGTATCAATATGGGGATTTTTTAACATTGGTCCCATATAGGGGCCGGGTTAGTCTGGTTGGTAGGGCACTGAGACCCTGTCCAAGAGTTCGTGAATTCGATCCCAGCCGGTCGAAGACTCCCCGTGTAGTAAATGGTGACTAATGTACTTCAAAGATGAGTCGCAAAGTCCTCCATGTTCCCATAACAAATCAATATCTCTGGGGGTACTGATCCTGGAGTTTTCATGTCTTCTGGATTGGTTCAAAATGACAAGGCTACGGAGTTGAACATTAGTAGTCGTAAACCCAAAAATTGGGTCGGCTGTTCAACGACGATTGTAAAATAAAATAAAAATTAAAATATTGGTCCTATATAGGGGCAATCTCAGCCATTGGCTGATTAATAGCTATAAAATATCGAGTCAATCTGATAATTCTATATAGGGTCGATATTGGCTGTAAAATATCGGGTGAATCGAACAATTCTATGTAGGGCTAATATCGGGAAAATAACTGCTTTTTGAACCCTGATAGAGCCAAGATTCGTCCAATGAGGGCCCAAGTTATTTTGCTTATACGGTATTTTGATGAATCCTGTACCAGCTAGCGTGAGCTATCTAATGTGAACAAGTCAGCCCATGAACATTTAGCAATGTTTAAACAATAAAAGTAGAATTTGTACGATACCAGTCAACAAAATGCTAAAATTGGAATGTTTTTATTTTTTGCCTTTAAGTAAAAAAAGTAATTTCTAATTCTTCTCAAAATGGGTAGTCGGGTTCTATATGTAGATTTGAAAATGCAATACGCCGTTTAATGAAAGACCTTAGTATCTATAAGCACAACAACCATTTCGTGTAAAAAAAACTTTTATTAGTTAAAATTTCAACAAAAAAATAATTCGGTGAAAGCGTTTGACACAAAAGCGAATTCTAAAAAAGCTCAAATCCAGCTGAGCATCCAAAAAATCAGCTAAAACACAACAATGTCCAATGTACTATCGCAGCACTTAGTGCTTTCCAATAATGAAGCTTTTTCCTCCAAGCACACTGTGCCCGTAACTGAATCGGCTGATGACTGGATTTACAATAAAGGGAGCTGGATAAACGTGTGTGAAGGGTGACATAGGAACTATGTGTACTGGAGCTGCAGGTACAGTGTGGACGATGTCCACTCTACTACTATGACTCTGAGCGACAGGTGAGAAAGCGACTCCGATTGGAGCTGGGTGAGCCACTGGTGGAGGACGAGCAACAGGAGCTGGAACAGCAATAGGAGCTTGTTCTGGAATTGGGGCTGGTGCAATGGGTTCTGGAGCTTTCGGCATGTCGTAAGGGGAATCGATGACAGCACCGGCTGGAGCGCTGAAAGCAGTTCCTGGTTCGTTCGTTTTGACCACAGCCCGGAAGCCTTGTTTGTCAGCAATGTAGTCTACGGTGCGGGATCTTCCATCTGTATCTCTCAGACCATAGGAGCCTTGCTTGTTTCCGTCAGCATCTCCCGTTTCCCGTCGGAAATTGGAAGCACCTTCAGCATCCGTGATGTCGTAGCTGAAGTCGTAGTTACCGTTGTTCTAAAATATAAATAGAATCTGATTAATATTCGTTTTCTAAATATTCACCTTCTTCCCCATACCGTGTTTCTTGCTTTCCACGGTAGGGGGCAGTATTTGTAGAAGTTGTTTCAACTTCCGGTTGAAGATTCAGGTCGAAGAATTTCTACTGGTGTAAACTAAATAACGTAAATCCACATCCAACTCTATCAGGTAACTGCATATCAATATAGAATAATTTCCTAAAGTACTTTTTTTCATATCTTCATTTGATACTTTAAAATTTAAAATATATAATAAATAAAAAGAAATATTGTGACAATCAAAGCACTCTACCAACGCCATCTATGAACACTAAAGAGACTCAAATAGAACAGTTGTAAGTTAGTTTAACTCCATCCCTCGAACCGCAAGCATGTAGGTTTCGAATTCCCCCCCCCCCACACTTGAGTTTTGTTTTCTCCCTAATTGTATTAATGGTTTATTTTGTGATGTTTTGTGACTTGTAACTTAACATTTTATGTCCTTTGTCCCATTAAAATTCTTAAATCACACCGTTGATTAGAATTCTTTGAGTCGCATGGCACCACAATATTAAATAAAAGTTCTGATCACCTCTTATTACGATCACTGGTTACCCATTGGTCAAATGCTTTTTCTTTTCTGGATTGACTCCTTTAAACGTCACAACATGTCAAATCATGGGTTGCAAAAAACTGTCTCCATTAATGTTTGTCGTCGGTTTGATTTTCTATGTACGTGTTTCAAGACGTCACAAAATACTTTTCATTCTTCAGTATTCATATTTATATTAAAATCACCGTCAAGACAGTCATTGTAAGTTAATAATGAAAAGAATATAAAAATACTTTAAATTATTATTATGACTAACGCTTAACCCATCAGAAAATTCCATTTCGTTTTTTGCTTATCCCTATTTAATGAATGAATTAATATTTGAAATAAAACTGTATTAACATCAAGTGTTAATACACACTACAAGTCCAAAAAATGTACATTGAATTTGAGTGGATGAATAAAAAGTATTTTATGAACGGGTGGAAATTTGAACAAGATATAGGGAGAATGTGAACTAATAGTAGGAATACAATAATGTATTATTAAAATATTTCGTAAAAAAATATTTTTTTTTGTATATAATCTAAAATTTATTTGAATGCAGTTATATTAGAATATCGTGCTAATACTTACATCTTGGCGCCTTGTTGTGGAGCTAACCCCTGTACTCACTAGACCGATGCCAGTAGCTTGGCAGGCGACTGCTACAGCACAGAGAATGGTAATCTGAAACAAAATATAAATTATAGATCTATATTCCAAATAATCCCGTTAGCAGGGAGCAAATCTGCAGCACTTCCTTCATAATTACAAATTTGTCTGTGACCTCAACGGTCAGACAAAGAGTCCCATGTAAACCTAGAAAGGTTTGTAATACGGTTTACGTGTAAACCTTCCAACCTTAAAACGAGATCTGTGACAATTACCTTTTCCAAAACTTTGGAAAACTACCTTCTAGAAAGAAAAAAAAACTTTTTGTTCTCTATTCAGCTACTTTTATTAAAAACAACTTTAGAGATGTTTTAAAAAGGCGATTTTTCCCCATATTTGAATGTTTAAAAAGAAAACTTTGAGGAAAATAATATACAGTCTTCTATAAGATATCCATTTAAGATAACCCAGTTTCCAACTAATCATTTCAGTTGTTTTCTACATTTTATTTAAAAATAAAATCATCTGTTATGTGATATTAGACATATGTGTAAAATATAGAAATGTAAAATTATTTAAAAATTGTCTTCTATGTTATTTTCTACATTATCATTAAATATTTAACCAAAAGTTACTTCAAAAGTTACTTATATTTAACTAAAAGTTACTTCGTACTTTTTAATGAAGCAAAAAAAAATCATTTATTGCGCAAATCTTATTCATTCCTTTGAAATACGAAAAAAAGTTAATAAAATAAACAAAATTAAAATAAAGTAAATAAAAACCTAAACAATCTACGATATCGTTAAATATTTAATCTAAAACTACATACTCTGAACACCTTGATAATAAAAATGAGATCGCCCTTTGTAGAATGTTAATCACCTCGTTGAAACACAAAAAAGAAGTAATATAATAAAGTATTAAAGTATTTCACTCTAAAATAATGTAACAAAATATAAAATAATGTGAAGTATAATACTAAGTAATGCTATCGCAAGGGTAGTAACGGTATCATTGAGAAATAAATAAAAAATTGCAATCCAGGTATTGTTTTGTTTTTCCTCATTTTAGAGCAAAATAATATGGTTGCGGAGGAAATAATATAATATTTGCAAGCAAACGATTTTAAAAATGAAACATCTTTTGGAATCATCTTCTAATGTCACTTCTTACTTTAAAAAAAAACTCAAATTTACAATACGTAAAAAAAATCACCCGTTATAATTGTGAACAGTTCATAAATTATTGAAATTTTTTAAAAAAAATTGTAACCTAGGAACTGTTTTGTTTTTCCACATTTTACGCAAAATAATATGGTTGCGAAGGAAATAACATAATTTTTGTAAGCAAACGATTTCAAAAATAGAATATCTTCTGGAATCGTCTTCTAATATTACTTCTTGCTTTCTGTTAAAATTTTCAATACATAAGACAAATTACCCTTTAAAATTGTGAACAGTTCATAAATAATTGAGAAATTAAAAAAAAATTATAATTTAGGTATTTTGTTTTACCACATTTTAGAGCAAAATAATATGGTTTCGAAAGAAATAACATAATTTTAGCAAGCAAACGATTTCAAAAATACAAGTTTTCAAATCGTTTGCTTGCAAACGATTTCTTGCTTGCAAACGATTTCCAAATGAACGATTTGCAAACGATTCGCTTGCAAACGATTTCCAAAGTGAATAATCTTTTGGAATCATTCTAATATAACATCTAGATTTTTAAAAACTGCAATTTTAAATACATAAAAAATTCTCTTTCAAAATTATGAATGGTAATCAAAGTCAGGGTGATATAAAAATGCGTAACTCTGTTTGTTTTTCTACATTTTAAGGAAATTAATTCGGTTGTAAATGAAGGAATGCTAGCTCAAAAGATTACCGCATTATTACTGGAACATCTTAGGCATAAACATTTGTTATGTTATTTTATTATTTTTTTTTAACCAACAGCAAAAATAGTTAGTAAATAAATATATCGAATTTGATCAAAATCAAATCTTAAAATAAATGTTACAACAATACGAAACTTTATTTTAATCGAAGTCATTTTTTAATTACATTACCTACCATCAAAATTCAAAATGTAAATGAATGTTCGTTTTGCTCTCAACTTTTTTTTAGTGTTAATATATAGGTATTTAAATGTATGTTGAATTTTCGTAGTTTGATTTATGAGTGCTTTTATGCCGCTCCCTGTACTATTTTTAAATTCCAATATTTACTTTTCGTTATCTTTTTTTACTTTTAGTTTTAGACCAGGGATGGGCAAACTTTTTTGGTCGAGGGGCCAAAAATCAAGAAAAAAAATGCTTGGTGGGCCAAGTAAAAACTTCAAAATTTAAGAAAAAAAAGGTGATATACAAGTTTTAATTTAAATATTTAGTGAGATGAAGGAAATTGCGATTTCATTTTTAAAAGTTCCTTACATTAAGGTTGGAAGTGAGATGTGCTTATTTTAAGGAACAAGGCTAAATGCTTTGCTGTTAGTCTACTTCTGAAATGATTTTTTCTAAGGTTCATAGATGAAAACACTTGTTCACATATATAAGATGAAGCATACATGCACTGATTTTCTGAGCATGAAATATTAAATTTCGGAAACTTGCTTTTTGTATTGATTTGTAAAACTTTGGAATATTTAGAAACGACTGCTTCAGATGATTGTTAAATTGTCCGCTCTTTGGAGCGTAAAATGCGCAGTCTGCCAAATGTGAAGTGCAATTTACCTATATTAGATTCCATAAGTCAGCTCCTCAAGAGAGACAAGCGCTAGTTGGAGCCAATCTACGGCTATTCTATAAAGAACTTCTGCTTTCAACATTTTACCAATTGAAGCTGTCTGAGCTAACTATTTCCATCAATTTATGTTTTGTAGAACAAAAATAGAGAAAGCAAAAACTTCATCAGTACTTTGTTGAAAAAGGAAAAACAGAAATAATTTTAAACATAGTCGACAAGAAAATGGATGTATATTGTTTATATTTGCCACTGATTGGCAAATAAAAATTCTATCCGCGGGCCGGATAAAATCTTCCAGAGGGCCGCAGTTGGCCCGCGGGCCGTAGTTTGCCCATCCCTGTTTTAGACTAAGTAGCATTGTTATTATTAATTATCCAAGTAATGAAACTATTTCATTATTCTTAGCGTTCAATATTTATATTATTGTTATCGGTAAAGCAATCGTATTTATTTAGTATAGATATTATGATTTCCAAATTATTTTTGTCCTATTTTGAATTTTTATTTATTTTTGTACCTTATACTGAACTGCTAAATTTTGATGATAAAAACTGTTACATTTTGATAGAGTGACATGAGGCAAGTTGATACATATCTAAAATAAGTGAGGCATGAGTTTGTTTGTTATTGTAAACTGGATGATGTTTTCCTGAATGTTGTCTTGTTTCAAATTCAAATTATTTGGAATTCTAACATTTTTTTAAAAAATATACCGGTTGGTTCACTAAATTCAAATTAATTAGTTTAAATTTCTTAACTCACTTAAATTTCTTAAGACACTAATTTCTAACTTTAATTATTTAAGTTACTTAATAAGACACTAATTTCTAACTTTAATTATTTAAGTTAGTAATTTCTTTCTTTCTTTATAGTCAGTAATTTTAAAAAAAAACTTAACCAGTAATGTATTTTAGTTTTTTTTTCTCTCCTGAAGTTGTATTTTTTTTATTTTAAAAGTTAAATAAATTTATTTTTTTACATTAAAACATTGATTAGATTTAGAACAAAGAATTGATAATAAATTACAAATATTTTTTGCGTTAATTTCATTTTTATCCTCCATTTAAAAAAAATAGCAAAAATAATCCGAAGTTGTAACCAATCAAAATAATACTACTAAATTAAATTTAGGTTTATGTTGTTTTTTAACCTGAAGCTGTAAATATTTTGCGGTTTTGTTATTTTAAATTTATATAAAGTAATTTCTTTAACATTATAATGGTGATTAGATTGAGAATAAAGAATAGATTTTTATCCTCAATTTTAAAAAAAATATCAAATATAATCAATCAAAATAATACTACTAAATTAAATGCAAAGAACAACACTCAGTTACAGTTAAGCTCCTAAACGTCAGGGATTTCATAAAAAGTCAAAATCGAGTGTATGTTTTTCGCTCAAAAGCTCTAAAGTCAGAAAACAGAACAACTTACCTTAGAAATCATTTTCAGTTCTTAAATTTACTGACCGCTTATGTTATGCTTTGCTCTGATGTAACTAATGCTTTTATACTGTTTTCCGGAAGGTCGTTTCGAATGCAACATTTTTGCAAAATCGTTTGCATCTACTTGACGTCACAGGCGTGGGGCGACAGCAAAAAAGAAATAAACCAAAAACACATCCTTGACGATCTCCCATCAAATTTGACATCACCAAAACATCTCAGCTCAACTCGAACAACATAATCGCCCATTCTTCGCATCATCACCATTTTGTTTTAAGAATTTAATGATTAATTGCCCAAAATCGAAGGTTGGCTCGGGGCGGACGAGGCCAACGACTGAACGTTCGATAGCCAAGCGAGAAGTTGAAAAATATGATTTGTGGTCAAGCTACGCCCAGGATTGAGATTTATAAAATCAATTTCATATTAAGAATCATGATCTGGTTCAGACGTCGATATTTGTCATTGATGAATTATGAATGACATATATGGATTATTCTTCAAAACCTTAGGGCTATAATTCTTCTACGTGCTCGTGGTTGGATGCCGGCAATAACTTCATCAGATGGGCTATATAATGACCTTGGAAATTAACAACATGTAATTAAAAGAAATTACTTAATAGCCTTTCAGTAAACAAGATTTTTTTTCTTTCTTTCAATAAGTTCGATTCAAAATTCATAACGCTTTCGAGCAAGCATGCAGAATTTATTGAATATTAAATGTTTCCTTAGGAAAATATTGAAATTATGTTGTTATTCTTATGTTTAGTATTTTTGAAAAATTGTTTTGGAACGTTTTGTTATTGTAGAAATAGTGTTTGGAACTCTTTTATTATTGCTCTGTAAAATATGTTAGAAACAGCAAAAAGCAGACATTAGCGTCGTATTATACAAGTGCAAATCACAGTATTAAAACCTGGCATCATGAATATTTGAAATGGTTCTGGGATTTTAATTTATTTCCTTTAGTTGAAGAATACTTTTTAGAATTATTGCTGCAAAGTTCGATTTTTGTTTAAATTATTGCTCTAAGTTTCGATTTTTGACGATATCTCGACAAATGACGGTTATTAATTTTACGATATGTAGACAAATGACGGCCTGCATTTTTAAATTAAGGAACATCATTAGTATGAAGTGTGCTGATCCAAACATTTATCTGTTATTTATCCAATAATGCATCGGAAAAAAAAGATTTAACATTACAGAAAATATATCAACTGTTCTTTTTTTTTGCGATTTTCCGTGCTTTAACGCTTTAACTAACAAAATGGAGTAAAAATAAGGAGAGAAAAGTACAACTAAAGCGATAGTTAAAATTGGTATTTACTAATTGGAAGAAATAGTTATTCAACTAATTGGTAAATGTTTCAATCATGGAATCAGCATATTAGTGAATAAGTGAATCAGTAAATATGTGAATAACTTAATCGATGAAATAGTGGTTCAGTGTGCTAGTGAATTTAAAAATCAATAAAAAAGAGATTCATTATATATGTAAATAAAAAAGTTTATAATCTTATAAAATTCCTACCAATAGTGGTTTCTTTATTAATTTATTATTTCATCTTTATTAGTTTGTATTTCTTACGAGCTATTCTTAAAACTGTTCATTTTTAAAAGCATATTATTAAAAGTTCGCAACACTATGTATGTACAAGCCTTGCTATGAATATTCATGTCTATCCATGTATGTTTATTTTTTCCCATTATGCTTATTTATTTTTAAAAATGCTTACTTTTTCAAAAGCATATCATTCTACGTATACGTCACTGCACATTTGCAACCGTTAATTCTTGATACAGAAAGCAAAAAAAGGTAACAACATAAGTTGGCGTTTGAGTGAATTAAAAAGCAGTTTTTCTGGAAATTAGTAAATGATCCAGTATATTAATGAATAAGTAAATCAGTTAATCTATGTTAGTTAAAAGTTCAAGCTCGATGAAATTTGATGTCATCGTTTGCTTTTTATTTCTTCGCGCATTATAGGAATTTTTAAATTTATGTAAATAAATTCTTATTAACTCTGTATTTTCCTTTATCAATAAAAATTTATCAGGAAAAATCCTTGAATCAAAGTAACAGTGAATGGGTAATCAGTAAATGAAAAATTCGAAGAATTGCTGAATGGGTGAACCAGTAAATGGTAGAATCGGTAACATTATGAATAGGTGAATCAGTAAATAGGCAGATCAAAGGGATAGAACAATAAATGATATTATGAATAGTTGTTGATGAACTAGTAAATGTCTAAAGCAGTGTATAAATAAATAAAATAAAAAGATCATATGCTTAGAAAATTTAGTATGATGGTCAACAACCACTATTCCGTTTTGCACTTCAAATCAGAATAAGTTAGAGATGTCAGTGTTCTTGATTATAATGATTTATTTTACAGTTCTATTTACAAAATATATAAAATACTAACTTCATTAATAAAATTTGAAACACTCAATGATATAAAATGGCTCAGATATAAATATATAAATGCTCAAAAATAAATAAATATAAACTCCAAGCTCCACAAGAAAAGAATGAATGAGCTCAACAAAAAAGCAAAACAAAATCGTTACTGTAGCAACTTAATTTTATGAACTTGATCAAAGTTAAAAATTAAGCAGACGATAATTCTTAACAACCACATTTCCTTGTTTTTTTTCTATATTTTTTTGTATTTCTTATCATGTTTCAATTTAAAATTCGCGATCGCACCGAACTAGGGGGCGTTGTTGTATGAGACGAATACCTGCGATTTCTATATGAACAGTTACTCTGGAGACGTCTTTAAAGTAGCGTGTAGCATTGTAACGTTCCTTCTTTATTGTGGCTTATTAAATTTAAAAAAGAAAAAAAATTGATATTCCTTCTTATGCAAACGAAAACAAAATGGTGTCAACAAAATTAGAGAAGAAACATTCAAAACACATCGGAAAAATGTTTGTACATAAACAGAAAAAAATATTTATATTCTTTAAGAGTTAAAACCTAATGCTCGAGAAATAGTTTTACTAAATTTAATGATGTAACATGAAAGGCCTATTTAAACTTTACATTCCATAGTTTTAAGAAACATATAACTTCAAAAATTAAAATGAACAAAAAGTAGGACATAAAGCCTTATAATTTTATATAATTTACTTTTGTAAACAAAGTTTTTTGACAACAATTTATATCAAAAAATTTTAAGTTTCAATAAAAATCATTGTTTAAAAACTAAAAAACGCAAAATGAAAAATGCTGACGAAATAAAAAAAATTCTTTTTGTCGCCATTTTTTAGTGCTACGAAAATTTGTCTTTGGGATTTGCCAAAAACAAAACAAGATGCAATTTTATTTTTTCAGGAGCGAAATAATTTAGCAAAAAAAAAAATAAAGTGAATATGTACCAATTCCCATGACATGAAATTTTATCTTGGTAAGCGTAAGTTTTGTAAATGTTACCTCATTTGGAATCTTATTTATTAGAGTTAATATGGTGACATCATCAGGTGAACGAAAATAGATTCTTTTGAATCTATGTTAAACTTTATATCAGCCCATTTCCCACCGAAAAATCCGATTGACTACTTTGATTTTAAATGTTTGTTTTAAATGATTTTAAAAAACCAACAAGAAGAAATGGACGATAACCATCTAAGACATTGCCCTGCACTTCCTCCTGGGCCCTTGTGGGAACGATATTGGCGGGCGAGATGCATTATTACAGACCTATAGACTCTTTATTTTTGTAGCTCTTGTTTCCTTATACTGTTCTTGGCTACAAATTTGTCTTTCATGTCTGCCATTGGAAATTTAAAAAAAAAAACTTTGATTTTAAATAAAGTGTTTTATTTTATGATTTGTCGCAAAAATTTTAGGTGTAGATTGGCGGCACTTAAAAACTGCCAAATCTGTAGCTGCGGTGGCGTTAATACATAAGTACCGAATTTTTATTCCATATTTTTCTTAATCATATTACTTCAAACATTAGAATATGCAAGAAGTATACATAAACACATAATGTTATACCATTTAATTTTTCAAAAAAAGTTTTTTGACAAAAATTTTTATCTAAAAATCATAAACTAACAAACGTAAAACAACGAATTCTTAGGATTACGATAAAAACGATTTTAAAAATTTCTCATATTGAAATTGGCAAAAAAAACTGTCATACTGTTTCTTTTTTTTTATTCTTTGGTTTTCACGTCTGATTAAGAACTATTCTGTAGAGAACTATCATCAAATAAGAAAAAAAAAATTTAGAAGCAAATTTTTTCAAAAAAATCATAACACTCACCTTCTTGATAAATCCGGAGAATTCTAAATGAAATGTTATTCGTTTGAAAATTTTATTTTCAAATAATATCTACATAGATTATCCCTTCATTACTTTTAGATAACATACCACACAGCAAGATCTCGATATGAATTTTAATATGTAGCTTAAAAGCAGAATAGCTGAATTCTAGTTGAAATTATTCTTTCATAACTAAAAAATACTTACCAAGAAAACGATAAAATTTATTAATAATCAGCACAAATGACACTATTTCAAGTGATAAGGATGATTTTTTATTGTTGTTTTCCAAATTATATAGATACAGAAATCGTATAAGGGAGAGTGGGGTCAATTGTAACATTTTTTACTTAACTATTTTTAACTAACAAAAAATCCAATATATTATCAGTATATAATCAATCAGGAGT